GTTTTGATTCACGCTTTGTTAACTATCAATAAACATATTAGTTTACTTTGCAGCTTCAGTGTTTATTATTTTTAATTACTTATCACATGAAAATAACATAACCAGTAGCACAAATCGCAAATTTTACTACTTATTTGATATTTCAACTTTTTGTTTTGTACATTCTCCCTGATTAAGCCACTTCTTCTAAGCCTTCGTCAGAATTCGGCGCTCTTCTGGCATACTTGGGTCTTTCACCAGGTCCCTCGGATCTTCTGGTTGTGCTTTCTGAGTCTGATCCACCCTCACCAAAGACCGATGTTTTTCTAGTCAATAAAGCAGATCTTGTACAAGGGAAAGTTGAAAAACCGTATTTCACTCATGGTAATCCACATTTCAATTTCTTCTTTATTTATTATCGCCTCCAGTCCCATCCTTTATCATTTGTCTCATGTCTTCTATCTTTATTACCTATTGGGTATTTCAATCGCATGTATTAATTTTCCCGGCTATATTTGACAAACCTATAGCGTTAAGCTTTTTGATCATCTTTTGTTCCTCCGCAATGCGATGCCTCTTTTTCATATCCTTTATATTTTTATCATATTTTCTCTTATATAATTATGCCCTCATCAGAATGCGGCTCTAATTCATCATTCGACTCGAACCAGCCGGGTCTTGTCTCTGAGCGTCTATGGATGGCTCGCCTTGTAACCTCATGGTGCATCAAGGGACGTAGTGCATTGAGCCGGCGTTTGTACAAGTTACTATCAAGACGCTATCTGCTGGCTTCCACTCCCAATGATTCAACGACACTCAAGATGCCTGATAAGTTCAGGGTTTCTTGTGTGGATGATGGTAATGGACTTGCGGGCGAATCTCCAGGTCGAATAGTATACCCAACTGAAGCCAATACCTTGTCTCAGATAGATACTTGCACTATTTCTGCTACCGCTTCTCACAAACTTGAATCATTAAGCGATAAGGTTTTGTCAACGACAATACATCAGGATGCAACAGTTGCAACTGAAACCATCAATCCATTAGTGATTCCAGAGGTAGAGATGCCAGAAAAAAAGGAGTTTTCAGCAGATCAGAACAGCCTACGCCTGATGACCCTGTTGCCAAGCCCCAATATCCGATTGCCCAAACTAATCCGGCTGCCTCGCGAGTACACTGTTCTTTTATCCCTGGCTATGAAATACAGGCAAGCGCCCTGATCTTCTTCGCATTTAACTTCCTCTCAAACTAGCCTATTTACTCGTCTGTTTTTCATTAATTCTTGCATTTTTTAAATTTAATTATCTGTTTGTATTACGTCTACTTTATCTAAATTTCCTTTTTAAAAGAGTTCTAACGACACCTAACCATTAATCAATACGAGACTCACTGTGAAAACCGGTTTCTTCAATTCTATGTCGTTTTGAATAGCATTTATTCCTGGACACTTATAAATAAGATATTTATTTACATTTACCATCTTTGCATATTAATGATTTCGAATCCTTAGTATAAACTGATCTCTTATGAAACCTCTTACGGTTCATGTATTGAAGATGGCGCCAGACGGATACCACCAAACTGGTATTATTTACAACTTACCTCTGAACCTTTTATTCATAACAAAGTTAATAAATTTAGGGTTTGTTTCTGGATTATTTTAATAATTGGCAACGATTAAGCTACTCAATGGCAGAATTAGCAGAGAATCTTGACTTATCAATTTTTACTATATATAAAAATATATATACATACTATATTTCTACTTTATTTTAGCTGTCCTGTTGAGCGTCACATGCACAGTGATCCCAGCATTTGTTTGGTCTGCGGCCAGCTGGCTTGTTTCCTCTGCTTCGGCTGTCGTGCCTTTGAAGATACTCAAGGCCTTGGTCTGCTGCCGTCTTCATCTGGCTCTAATATTGCAACAAGCACTGGTACGGCCGGCGGTGGCGAGTATGGTGTCTTCGGAATGCAAGCTCATATGCGTCGTTGTCATGCCGGTTACGGGCTACTTTTGCGCATTTACAAATGTAGGGTTGTTATGTTATCAGAACAAGCCAGACGAGTTACAGAGCTGCAGGCACCATATCGTGACCAATTTGGGGAAGCGGATCCTCAGCTTAGGTGAGAATTCATCATCAGCTTCTACCATGTGATCAGGAGTTCGAGTGTTTGACAATAGTTTAGGGCCGGTAACGCTTTATTTATTCATATTTTAGTCTTGAGTTTACTGGTTTTACATAGGCCTCACGATGCCATTGAATTTTATTTAACCTTGCCTCTATTAGGGTTTATTACCTAGAAGGGATTGTAGCTTTGATTTCGCCTAGGTTCACCAGCACCCCTAACGGAAATCGAAATATGTTACTGCTCATCGTAGCAACACATTACCACTCATTACAAAGCGGAGTGGGCCACATGACAATTGCGGCCTTCAAGACAAGCCAGGTTTCTCTCAAATCAGTATCATAGCGAGACGGTCGATGAGACAACAATGTAATTACGCTAAATTCTATGATTGATTTTTTTATGTGAGTAATGTTTTGAGTAGGAAGTTTAATATTACAATTCCCAAAGTAGACCAATTAACACTGTTAATGTGACCTAGTCTTTGCAACTTGGTCAGAGAGACAGGGAGATCTTGTGGAACGGACTTAGTCCTGTGTCCTCTGCTATAGTATTAATTATTTTTTTACAACATAGGAAATCCATTGGAGGTGTGCCTAGTCAACGATCCGATGCTGGAAATAATCATTAATACTATGGCAGATGACGAAGGACTAGGTACATTCCACAAGGTCTATTTGACTAAGTTTCGAAATCGAGATCAAACCAACACTAAACAGCTAATGGAGACTGCGACCAAATAGAAGGTTCTTATATAGACTAATTGGTGCTTTAAATGCCTTTTTCTGATAGTATTTTCCCACAAATTATCGATAGACTTAAACCATTTATTCGAAGCTATGAAGACCAAGATGATGTGGCCTTTTTCTATGGTCGTAGTCTTTCGTTGTATAGATGTTGTTTGACCTTGTTTTCGCAACTTGGTTATATTGCTAGGAAGACTTAGAGGAACACACCTATGTAGGAGTCCATTGTATGTATGATCATTTCTAGAGTAGGACAGTGGACGGGGTATATTCCCATACGTTTCGTCGGCATCGTCAGTGAGTTTCGCCATTCTTAGCACCACACAACAACTCGTCAAAGAGACAAGTGAAGCCGATTCTTTGACCAAACATGTGCTAGACAGTTGTGATATCTCCATGTCTGCTATGGGTATTAACTTTTCCTATATGCTCCTATCATGCCTTTACTGTTACAATGTTTTACCGTGCTTATTTCGACGTAGTGTGGTGTGCTCCTTTGAGCTGGATTCATGAAACACTCCACACTACACATTGACGTTCTCAATCCCTTCACCCTTATGCTGGGAATGTTGATCAGAGTCTGCCATATTGTTACGCAGTCCCCCTTCCCTAAGTCTTATCACAGTCTCCCTCTTTCCGCGTAGTATCCATCTGCTATCTTCCTGGTTCACGTATTTCACTCGACCTCTGCCACCCCATCGAGGCGTTATTACCCCTCCCATGCGTCTAGGTGACTAATTCGAGGCAAAGCCTCTGAGCACGTCTCATTGTCAAGCCTTTGCCACATGGACCACGTCTCTTGTGAAAGAGACTGTCAGCCAACTAGCTCCAATCGCCGCCTCTATCCTGTCTCTATCCCTAATGAGATACATCTCATTACACTGATTTACTGGTAGTCTCGAAACCCTACTCAATTATGTCTATCCCTAATACCAAGGCTATGACTTGCCATGCCCTAGTCGCTTGTGTGCCAACCCACAAATGTTGTGATGCTGCTGTCTTTGATTAGGTTCAATGTTGAATTACAACGTTTGTGTGTTGACACACAAGAGACTATGGCATAGGAAACCATAGACTTGGTGTTATAGATAGAAAGAGGATAGAAGCACTTCCTATGTCATAGTCTCTTGTATTCCAACCCACAATTGTCGTGGTTCTACTTGCTTTGATTAGGCTCACTGAAGACGTCTCTTCTTTGCTTCTAATTGTTCCTTTCTCATCCCCCTGCGATCTCTTCCTAAAATTAAGGATATTACCTTGATCTAGTCGCCTTTTTTTTGCTGCTCCTGCTGTTGTCTGGTCTTCTTCGAGTTTGTTTAGGCAATGTGCAAAGTTTTCATTCATCCAGCCTTCAAGTCTCCTGTTCATTAGAATTCTCTCGGTCAGTATATTGATAACCACTCGGATCTTGCGTTTTCTCGTATTTTTACCTTATGCAGCCAACCTTTCGGTCGATTTCGTGCCGCATTCGTGCAATGTGTTCCGCTCTTTCGAATCTTTTCGTATCCATGTTCCTACATATTCTTTGATATTCCTTGATTCGTAGGCCGATTTTTCTTCCTGTTTCACCAAAATACTTCTGCTCACAGTTGCCACATTTGATGCGATTAACTTCCAAGCAATTAAGTTTGTCCGTCTTTTCGTGTTGCGTCGGCAGACTG